TGGAAGACCGATCTCGACTAAATACACAATCGTTGAATATTTTCATTTTTAAAATATAATCGAAAAACAATTCAGGATCCGGGAAATCGACTTCGATTGATCATTCCCCAATAGCGGATACGCTTAAGGGGTCTTCAATCTATAAACAAAGGCGCGACGAATAAATTTCGGGCAATGGATTCCCAAGAAAAAAAGGGACATAGGCGCGCGTGAATACTATAGAAACGAGATCTGCTTTCTGAATTAAAAATTATCTATATTGGGGGGGGCGGCGCGGGATCGCAATAATCTTTTCTCAGGAATATATCTCTTTGTGCAATCAAATTTCGGATAACGGGTTCCCGAGAAAAAAGGGACATATGCGTACGTGATTACTATAGAAATCAGATCTAGTTTTCGAAATAAAAATCATCTATATTGGGGAATCTCGTAGGAATATGATTCTTTATATATAGAGAGAGATCCAAATACACTTACGACATGAGAACGTAATAATCTTATTCTATGAAGATATCTCATTGCGCACGGCATGAGATCCCGTAGAGCGAGAACGCATTACATTTTTTATCATATGAATTTTTTTGCTGATCATGATTGAGATCTATATCTTCTTGCGTGTAGATTGCGATCCAAATATATCTCCATGGCGAAAACGCAATATTTTTATATATATTAATCTATCGGGCGGTACGAGATCATAACAATCGTTTTATAAGAAGATATCTCTATACGTATAGAGAGAGATCTATGCGCTTACGGAGCGAGACCACAACTATTTTTGGTTGCATGATATCTTTGCGCGCACGCAGAAATTTCCAAATATAAGGATCGTTATATCCCGGATTCTTCGCAAATATAGGACGAAATATAGGCGATATATTTGGTTACGACGAAAGACGCACGGATCACGAATGCAGTGGTCCATGAATATATTTTTGGACGCGATCGAGATTCCGCTTGTGATTGCGCAAGAATTTCCCTGATGCGCGATTTATCTCAATTTAGTCCCTGCTTAAGCACCCTCCCCTTCCATATGCCCTGATGCGCAATTTAGCATGATTTAGCTCTTGCTTAAGCACCCGCCCCTGCTTCGCTTATGGTGAAGGACGCACGGAACACGAATGCAACGATCTATGAATATATCCTTGGATACAACGGGGATTCCGGACGAGTTTACGCATCAATTTCCCTGATATGTGACTTATAATAATTTAATCTCTACTTAAATATCCGTCTCTTCCATATTTATTGCCTATTACGCGATTTAACATGATTTAATCCTTGTTTAAGCACCACCCCTGCTTTGCTTACTGCGAAAGATGCTCGGAACAAGAATTCAATTGGCGGGGATTCTATATCTATTTGCGTAATAATTTCGCTGATGTACGACTTTATTTAATTTAGCCCCTGCTTGCGCATCCACCTCTTCCATGCTCCCTGATACGCGATTTAGCATGATCTAGCCCTTGCTTAAGCATCCTTCTCCGCTTCCCCGATGCGCGATTTGATATAATTTAGCCCCTGCTTAAGCTTCAACCCTTTCCATGCCCCCTGATACGCGAATTAATATGATTTAATCTTCATTAAAGCATCTTCCTCTGCTTCCCCGATACGTGATTTGATATAATTTAGCCTCTGCTTAAGCAGATATCTCTTCCATATTCCCTGTTGCGCGATTTAGTATGATTTAGCCCTTGCTTAAGCACCTACCCCTGCTTTGCCTACGGCGAAGGGCGCACGGAACAGGAACGTAATAATCCATGAATATATTTTTGGACGCGGCGGGCATAAAAATGATATAACGATATCGAAATCATTTGCGATTATTATTCTAAGCATCTTTCAAATAATCTCAAGAAGAAATCTCTCACGAAAGATCCGTGAGGCGTAACTAATGACGGAAAAAAATCGCGGGGCTCTTCTATCGCTATTGGGGTCTATTGATGAAATAATTCTATCAAGAATCTATCTTAAATCGTAATATCGTCAAATCATAATCAATATAATAATCGCGATCTTGCTGAAATTATACGAGACGCCTCCTCTGGCTACTTTTTCCGCCATATAAATCGCTGCCGCCTGCCGCCTACCGCCTATCGCCCATATCTGCCTCGCGCTATCAAAAATCTCTGAGATTTCTATTTGGAATACGCGCTCTCAACTCTCGGAGATTTTAGAGCCTCTAGCTTTTCCGAGATTTCTAAAATCTCCAAGATTTTAAAATATCGAGGGGTCTCATAAGAGATTTTTAAAGACGAATTGGATTTTCTAGATCGCGCACGAACGAAATGATCATCAATAATTATATTTTGGAGCTATTTCTTATTTATGAGAATTTATATAAAATAGATCGGACTAGATACGAGGACCGCACGAATAAAAATCTCCCGAGGTTTCGAATCATTCTTCTCTTTTTAATTAGCTATATAACAATTCGAAAGAACGTAGAATTGGCTTGCATCTTGATAACCCGAGAAAAATGAATGATATAAATAGATCTATTATATCATATAGAGACCGCGCGATCAGAAAGTCGTATATCCAAAAATCTCTCCAGATTTCGAATTATTTGAGCGTTATTCAAAAATATTCTCATAATAAAATGATCTCTTTATAGAAATCCAAATTTCCTTTTCGCGCCCATCATCGCGAATTTTCGCAGAAATATATTTGAAATAAAAATCAAATCTTATAGTCTAAAAGAATTCTTGGTCCATGCCCTTAATTCCCAAAATCGGACCCGTAAGACGACAAAATATGCCGGGAAGATCAAGTGGGATTATAATTTATCCAAATCCTAAACTCCAATTTCGAATTACAAAAATTATATCATCTCGCATGGCTTGCAATGATAGGGACTTGCTCGACCTAAACGACCTTTCATAAATCTTTCGCGGATTTTCAGATATATACCTTAGAAAGATTTATAATCCTTTCTCCGTTGAATATATCTGCAGATTATAAGATGAGAAATGATTTTGAAGGAAAGAATTTTAATTTGCAATTCTTCTTGCGCGAAATCCAAAGATCCTTTCACGAATATCATCACGATCTTTCGGGGAGAATCTTTTGAATCAATCGTGATCATTTTATATAAAGAATTAGAATTGATCCGCTTCCTATGATAGCGGGGAAAAGTATTTGAGAATTCCCATAACGAAAAATCCGATGAATAAATACCTTATAAGATCGCACGTAGAGATCGATGAATTATCTATATCTATAATCGCATTTGCTATATAAATTCTAGAAAAATTTAGATCTCCCCCACGAATCTATATCTTCCCCCGAGCCGACAGCCAAAGAGAGAAATATGATTCGAAATCTTGGGAGCTTTTAGGTCGCACGGTTTCCGCATCCAGCCCGATCTTTCTACTTCATTTATCTCTCGAAGCTATCTACGCGACTCGGGGGAGCGCATAAATCCTCGTAAATAGATAGATATAATCAAATTATAAATTCTGAAAGATTTTAATTCTAATTCGGGTCTATAATTTCCGCCGAACAATCGAGCAAATAATCAAAGAGAAAAGAATCACGTAGAAAATCATTCCGGAGGCACGTATCGCGCGATCAAATATCTTCGAGATTTTTAGTCGCTCCATCCGTATCAAAAATCTCGAATATTTCAGAGCTTCTAGCTTTTCCGAAAGAGTCTAAAATCTCCGAGATTTTAGAGATCCTAGGGAATCCGCAAGAAATATTTTAAAGGCAAATCAGAAAAGCTAGATTAATTGAAAAAATAGCCACCTCATAATATTGAAATATTTTCTATAGAAATTTCGGGCGATATCTATTTCTCTTTTTCCTAAATTATATGTATATGACGGCAGAAAATGCAAATATAGAATAGAGAATTAAGATCTTTCAAATCCTATATATCATATGCGGGTTAAAAACTTATATTAAAATAGACTCTTTCTTTATAATAATAGATTATCATCATTAGAATATATTCGTAACGACAAATAAACTAATATAGAAGAAAATAATACGTAAACTTCCAAATCCTACGCCCTCATATTTTAATATCCCGAAACTTGAGTAAACGTCGACTTCGAAATTGAAGCCTATCAACCTAGTACTTATTAAAAGAGCTAGATATTTAAGAGAAATTACCATATCTATCAAAATTGCCGCCGATCCGCAGATCTGTACTAACCGCTAATCAAAAAACTACAAATTACCAAAGAAATAGAAATATTTCGAAATCTCAGCAGATTTTTCTTCCTTCATCCGAAAATCTCCAAAACAGAATTCCTATTTCATTTATCTCTCTTAGGCTGCTTATTATGCGGCGGATCGAAAGACCCTATGACAAATGCGATTATCCCAGCTCTATACGTTCCATAGAGTAGCCGCTCCCACTCCTAAAAAAGAGATATATCACGCGGAAAAACGGCCGCGCGACCAAAAATCTCCGAGATTTTTACGCGCATCACCCGCACCAAAAATCTCGGAGATTTTAGAGCCTCTAGCTTTTCTGAAGGGCTCTAAAATCTCCGAGATTTTAGAGCCCCCGGGGAGACCGCAGAAGCATTTTAGAAGTGAGTCAGAAAAGTTAGGCCGCGCGCAAACGAAATAAGCGCAAGTAGCCGCGCCGTAATATTGAGGTCCCTTATATATTATTTAGACATCGAATTTCTCGTTAGAATTTTCCTCATACAAATATTTTCGCTGTTGTAGGCAGCGATCCATCTCTAGCCGAGATTATTTCTCAGAATGAATACGATAAATCATCGTAATAACGTTTCTCGCAAAATATTAATTCGCATAATAGAGCCGAAATAAGCTTTTGCCAGTCCAATTCCATATCATAAAGACGCCTGTCTTTTGCTCATGCCTGTCAACAAATGCGACTGGTGATTGGCAGAAAGCCTGCACTTCAGATTGGCAACATTGCTGGCGATGACGAGCGTGACGCTGTATGGCGTCACGTCTGAGGTGATCTGGCTTCTTTCTGACATCCGGTCAAAACGATCCGTGCTGCTCTGAGAAGCTCAACCTTGCCTTGACTTCTTGGCGAAGATGAAATCCAGATGTAGAGCCACGAATGCAATCACAAGGAAGCGCCGGACGAACAGGTCTTGTACTTTGACTTCGCGCGACTTCAATATCTTGAGATCCTCGTTGTTGAGCACGACCTCCTTTGCACTCGGAGCCAACGCTGAACGTGTGGCCCAACGACTGCATACGTGGTGTTGGCTCTCTTTCCTTTCGCGCTTCATGACGTGATCGCCATGTCCTTGCCCATTCTGTGCTTCTGAGAAGTCATCTGGCGAAAGGCATGCGTCAAGCTCAGGCCAGTTGCTCGAGAACCTGCAAGCCAGAAATGGGTAAATGCTATCAGAAGGAACCCTTGCCCGCTCAGGTGTCTCACTGGCCTGTTCCACAACCCTGCGTGGTTGTGATCCCGGGAATGCTCGCTGCCCAACAGCAAGGATTGCATCCAGAAAATCCTGAGCTGAGGCAATCACGGAAGAATAATGCACCAAACATGCAGCTGCTACATGCACAGTTGTGCAAAGCCACAAACATTCTGATGGCATCAGGTTTTGCACCCTTGTCATGCGAGACCTCTGCTTGCCAGCTTGCAAAACAACTCAGCTCTTGCTCCTGGTGCCGCATATGAACTTGCAGGCAGAAAGCAAAGCGAGTGGATCTACAGCGTTGAGACAGCATGTCCAAGTCGTGCTTCTGGAGGCCGCCTGCGGCAGGAATCCCCTTGACAGCTAGATGTCTGCAAGCTATGAGTACCCAGCTGAAGCCGCTGCAAAAAAAACATTGACCTCCCAAAACAATCCACACCAACGCTCAAAGCATGGCAAAACCTCACTCCCATGGGGCCAACGGAACTTGGACTCGCCGCCCTGAATGGATGAACCCCCCGACCTGTGCCGCACAAAGGCCCGAAAATGCGACGCAAGCCTGTGCTTGTGAAGGCCTTCGAGGCTCCTGCAAGGTGGTGCGGTCAGCAAGCATTACGCAAACTTTTATCTTCAAAGCACGGCGTACAATCAAAGCGGGACACAACAGCAGCATCGGCAGCCTAGCCGGCCTCCCACAAGACAAGGAGTCCATGGGACTCGCATAAAGCATGCGTGCAAGGGCTGCAAGGGAGGCCTGCTTTCACGCGCATGAAAAATTCCCTGGCAGACTCTGTGCCAGGCATTATAACTTTGCAAAAAACTGGCTGTGCTGCATATGATGGTAAGGGACTGGACTCCTTGAGGTCGCTTGCGTCTGCATAGCTGTAACGAAACCATTTCTTCTGTCATTCTTGACAGGGCGGAATATCCAAATGAAGCGCGCAAAGTTAAAGTGCAAGCAGGTTTCTCAAAAGCATGCCCAAGTGCTACAGTGATCAGGGGCGTTTAACGCAAGGGCGGTGCCTTGTGCCGATATGATTTCTGAGCCCTAAGCTCCTCCAGCTTGATGGTACAATGATTCGACTCTCACCAACAGTGGCCACAAGCTGTCATTGCCAACAGCTATAGGCATGAAATTCTCCGAGTCAATGCCTCCCTCAAAGCTGAGTCCCACCAGGGCCTGAAAGGCATCCCGCATCACGGCTGACTTCACCTCGAGATCCACGAGCGAAGTCTGATGTCGATGAGGCTGAGCCATGTCCATGCAACGGCAAAGTTTTCCTGCCTCACCCAACTCTGACTCTTCCACCGGTAGCGCTTCATCAATGCTGATTGATGGCGAGTTGTTTACTTCCAGCAAGTAGGCTTCGAAGGTTTGGCTCAGCATGACGTCAAAACCCAAAATCTGAAAGCATCCAATGTTGTCTTCGCAGCCAAGCTGGCGAGAATGGAATCTCAACACGGGTGCCATGATAGCAATGACTCGCTGAGCGATCTCGGAGACATTGGCGTAAAAAGCCTCTTCTGTTGCCGAAATCTGTGTAAACATCGGCTGGGAACGAATCAAGCAAAACGGAATCTGCTTTTGGGACCTGCGGCCTCAACGTCGAAGTCATGGTGCTCTTGACTGAGCTGCTGAGGCAGACTGTCAACGGTCGCTTGGACGCAGTGTTCTCAGCACCATATACCTCGTCCAGGGTCTGGCCACCTCATGAAACCACATTGACTTGACGAGCTCTGTTGATTTTGCATGTCTGAAGCTGAGGCTGTGTCAGTGCTCGAACTTGCTGCTTCTCTTATTCAATGAATAGTTGGTCAGGTGTCCTCGGTTCCGGACAAGTTCGGGACTGCTTTAGAGCTACAACCGGACCGAAAGATCTTGCTGTCTCTGGCACACGCATGCAAGCTCTGTTCAGTCAAGTCCAGCAACCCATGCACCGATGCATATTCCGTGCCGACGGCTGCTCATATGCCTCACCATGCGCGAAACATAGCTTAGCTAATGCAGAGTGCACTGCTGCCTCTCTTTCGCATGACCAGGCAAAAGACTTTTGTACAGGACGGCTCAGCCAAGTTGCGAGGCCACAGCTGAGCTCAGCAGGACTACACCTACCCTCCGACAAAGTAGTTCAGGGTGACAACGACACTACGTAGGCCACCAGTACAGTTTTCGTACGAGACCACCATAAAAATTGAAAAGCGCTCTGTAGACACAGCAGAAGAAATTTGAGTCCAACTGAAGGCCTCGGTGCAGAAACGCGCCAGGCCCTCACGGCAGAGCCACGCTGCTGGAGGGGCTGCTGATGAGCCGCCTGCTAAGCAGACGTACCTGAAGTCAGTAACAACCCAAGTATTATCAACATCAAGAGAAACATGAAGCCCAAGCAAGAAACACCTACCAAAATGTATTCACGTGTAATTGTGCAATGTGGAATCCTGATTAGTGCGTTGGGGTGTAATAACATAAAGCTTTCAGACAATTATTCTGGACACCCTACTTGATTAGGTGGTGCCAACAAACTACGTTTTTGGGGCTATCTTTTCTGGATTTGAAGGTAACATAGGTAGCAAATGTAGGATAAATGTCAGTTTTTAGAGGTTGCCGGATCTGAGACAATAGGAGCTGAAGGATCCCTCTTTCCTTACTAGTTTTAATTTTAATACTTGCCATAGGACCACCACGCCCCCAATTCGTTTCGAGGCCTTTTCATTATAGAGGCATCGCTTTTTGTTTGGAGGGGCCGCCGCACTAATCAGGATCCAACATGATCCAACATTATTAAGAAACTATGCTTGCGCTGATTGGAATAGGCATAGCAATATCAAGAATCAACAAATCCAGCGACATGCACCAGATATCCTGCGAGTCCTAGTGTGGGGCTCTGATTGAGGTACGCCGCCTGCGTGCTAAGGATCACATTCACAACTGTTCTGAAAAAGACCGCGGGTGCATCCGCAGGTCAAATTTCAGCCCACGGAGAAGCAAAGGCTTGCTGATGTATTTCTGTACCACTGTGGCAGTTGCACTCTGAGTAGACAACTTCACGTCAAATTGATGCAGGCCCTGAACAAGGAAGATTCCATCGCCTTGCGAGCCATCCTCTGGCTTGACGATGAAAGTGCTCTTGGACTTTTCTAACACTGCCCGGAGCTCTTCGAGCTGCTCTGGCAACACCCAGGTGCGCGGATTGAAGTGAAAATAATGATCTTCACAGAGGCATTGACACGTCCTTACCATTCTGGCCAAGTTTCCTTTGTCGCACAACTCTGGAGCGCCCATATACCTGGACACCCAGCTGTTGATACCAAGCTGCGGCCAGCGCTTTAGCAAATCCGCTGTCTGCATGACGCAGAAGATCACAGGTCGCCTCTTAGCTTCATCTGCAGTTGTGGACTCAATATCCACTTCACGCCACCCAAGGCTTGCAGTAACATGCGAGAACAAGTCCTTCGCGTGCTTCCCAACACCTTAGAGGAAGTTGGTCGCGACAGGGTATGTCAAACCACACATTTCATGCCATACTGCTGCAGCAGTGCTACTCCAAATTGTCCGAGTCGCAGTCTGTCGTTATGACCTGAGAGCAGAGGAGTTGGACTGTTGGGGACGCAGCCTGCACACTACTTCCAATGTTTTCCATGCTTGTGCCAGCAAGTTGCAGTGAAGGGCCCGCGAGTGCCCTTGCGTCTGGACAGCTTTGAAGGTGCAGGAGCTTCTGGTGGTACGGGGGGAGGCGGCGGCGGCGGCGGAGGTGCATGTGATCCACATCAGCAAGCAGCGTGTCCATCTCTTGAAGTACTGATAAGAGACAATTCTGCCGTCTCTGACTGCTAGCTGCCGTCTGCAATTCTCTGTTGAATATGATGTTGATCCATAAGCAAATGTGCAATTGCAGCTCACTGGCCATTTGGAGGCTAGCTTGATCCACAACGGCTTGTCTACTTTCACAGCGCTAAACTATTCCAAGCTTTGGGATGGCACACCGTGACGCCGAAATCACCATGCGCTGCAAAAACACGTGAAATGAACCTTCCTTAGGAACAGTCGCAGTATGTAACGATCTCAAACCGTCCCATGCGTGATGTATCATGTTATTCATGACAAGCTCTTGGCATCCACCGACTTTTTTCTGCGCGGGACCGTCAAACACCTGACCGTCTCACGCAGATCTGTTGCCACGCTGCCAGATTCGCTGCCTGTCAGCACGGGGCGATGTTTTGAAAGCTTCCCTGGCCGGCTGTGCTACGATCTCGAAATCCGCCGCCCCAAGCGTCTGAGTACGCAGCCGATTGAGAAGGTCTCGTCTACACTGCGCGTAGCCCTGCACCAAAGTGATGGCAGTGGTCGAAACAGATGATCTTTGAGGCTTGTCTTGTGAGACCCCATCCTTCCGCAGCCATATGCACTCCTGCGTCACATACTCCGGATCGTTGGAGTTGAGGCACTCCTGTTGGCCGCCAGTCTTAAGCATCAAAGACTTTCGACTGACGGCTCCTTTTAAACCTAGGAGGCCTTTCATGCCACGCTGTCGCTTGGAAACTTGGAACTCCAGTTGGACGCGAACAACGGCTGGTCCTCGAAAGATGCGCCATCCCTGTAGCATTTGGTGCCCTCGTAGCAACGCAACATGTCCTTGGGCAACTGGATCAAAGCATGTCTAAGCCCTGTATTTCAGCGTAAATGCGACTGTCAAACTCAATACCAATGCTTCTGCCGAACTGCAGCGTGAACATATCATGAAGTGCTCAACGAACAGGCTGAGAAGAGCTGAGATCTTGGCTTCTCGAATGCGCGTGCCTGCGGTGTAGCGAGCATGTAGGTGAACTTGCGCATACACACGCATGCCTTGTGCACTTGTAAGAAGCTGGCAGGAATTCGATGGTTTCCGGTGCGGCTTCGCCGGATCTATCGCATACGAGCCAGGTGGGAGCCAAGGATCCTGCAACTGTTGCCGCTCAATATGAGACGTGGGACCAAGAAGGCTCGTCAGCCAAAACTGCCTGCAAGGCAAAATTGCTCCGAGCGTTTTCAAAACGACAAAGGACTGATGCCTCAAACAACGCACATCAGGCAGCTCACAGGGCCACTGGCGCAAACACGTTTGGCTCCTTCTTTGGTGTTTCGCCAGCGTCGGAAGCAGCTGAGGCCGATGCCTTCAGTCATCCGAAAGTCAATTTGAATTGCTGATGCCAATGTTCTGCAGTAGCAATCAGCTCAAAACTTTTTCCAGCGATCATCTGTTGTAAAAGAATGCCTGCGCCCTCAACACAACCAACGTCTAAGCCGGCCGCAGAAGCCGTGCTGGCAGAAGATTGCCCCATGGTGGCTACGGGGCTGTGTTTCTGAGGTTAGGTTGGCAGCGGGTAATTCTGAGGCATCCCTTCCGCGTTTTGCTGGACCTGTATGACCTGTATGCCATTTGCTTGTCGCCAGACTCTACACTGGAAATCACGTTGCACTGCGTTACTATAGTGGGCCATTGCAAAGATGGAACTCAATGATGGCTATTGCTGATGGATTTGTTAGATTGCTCAAGCAGAGTTGGCGGCGGAGCTTCATGTCGGAGTGCAAGACAGACATCAGAATAAGAACTCTATTGCTCTTGAACCATGCGGTTTGGACCCGGAGTAAACATGTGAGGTCATGAGCAATGCCACAAGACAAGTGGTCTTTGCCTTCCGTTTGTCTTGTATGTTCTCAAGCCACGCAACCTGCTTTAGGTTTTGTCCTTATGATTTGCCATCTAGGCTAACTCTTGAAAGGGCACACCTGAAGAAGAGGCCCTGCTGCTGCAAGCTGCAGCAGCATAAGACGCCAGTTTGTTATTTGTTTCTCACTCAATGCGGGCTAGTGCATGTAGCCGCTGCTCGGAGCAGCGTTGGCGCAGAGCGGCGGCCTGCTGACGGAACTTACCTGAAAAGTGCAGGTGCTGCGCTGAGAAGGACAAAGCGTAAGGTGCCAGCATCAACTTGTAGTCACTCTACCAATGCCATTAGCCTTCAGCACAAGAAAGTGATGGAGATGCCTCTTGCACTGCTTTGGCAATCTGCTGCGCCAGTGCGCGGTCCGCTTGGCAGTCCTCGCAGAAGCACGGGATTTTGGCAAGGTTTGGGACTATCAAATGTCAAGGCTGAGGTGCGAAGCACACATGCAGCAATTGACAGGCTGCCTGCTTAGCCAGGTATTGGGCAAGCGTGCTTTGAAGGTCCAGCTCAGCCAACGGGTCCTTACCTTGGGATACAGAGGCAAAGGCCGTGCAAACACCCGCCATGGGGTTGAATTGCCAGCAGTTTTTTGCGGCACAGCCCACTCTTGTGTTCATGCGCCCCTCGTGACCACCTACGTTTCGCATGTACCTCAGCCCGCCTAAATGAGACCCAGCGACAGGAAACCGTAGTAAGCTTGAATCCACAGGAATGCTCCCTCGCATGCTTGGCCGTTCTTTCAGGGCCGTTAGGTTCAGGAATCAAGCCTGTTTTTTGGCAACAATGTTTTTGAAGGAACTATGGCCGCAGTGAAACAACCCAGGGAACCCCACATCTCAGAAAATCATGACAAGCCTTGATGTGTCATGTTGGAGTCGGCCACTCGTGGAATACAGGCTTTCCTTTACAGTTTAGGGTCATATTATGCTTCTGCACATCAGGTTTGGATTCGTCAGTTCTCACGGCCAGCCTATAAGACCAGGTCTTTGGAACACGTCATGTTTACATGGCTGGTGGCAACTTGGCTTCTGAATCCTGGGGCTGTCGCGTTCCAGTTCCTGTGCAGGCAGCTGATCGCTTGCACTGTTCTTTACCATGTATGATACATCCCGCACGCATGATCCTGAGTGCTTTTACTATGTACCTGAACCATGAAGATAAACGTGCCATCTGCAAAAAGGAAAGATGAGCATGCTGCTCACAACGCTCCAGAACAGTACATCTCCAACACATGGAGCCACCATGCCGCCCGAGCAGAAAAAGTAGCGTAGGTTGCCTGATTGCGCGACCAGTTTTTTACTGCATACAGCTGAGCTGAGGTGTTTGACTACACGGTCTGCTCCACTGGTGCTAGAATGTGATAAAGATCAAAGCGAGGTCCTCCAAAATCAGCTGCAACAACACTAGTAGGTGTCGAAGAATGCACTACTGTGGAGCAGCCCGGCGTCTGAAACGAAGCGGGCTCCAGAGCTTGGTGCTTAGCACAGAGGTGGAGATGGATCCCAACACGCAGGCAATTCATGGACATGGGCTCTTTGTTGGGGAGCATGTTAGGGGACTATACTAAGCCATCAAATGGATGTCCATGTCCACCCTAAGGCTAACATTGACAGTAGCTCATGTAAACTTATGCATTAGCGACGCGTGAGCAGATCCCTGCCCAGTCGCAAGAGTACAGGGGTGCTCGTTGTTGAAATCTGTTGGGCAGCAGGCAGAAAAACTTATCCCTGCCACACCACGGCCTACCTCGGCCGGGAAAGGTCAAGTAAATGTGACACTCCTTCAGCCTCTATAGGCAAATCAGAGAGCGTGTCGCTGTCCATGTTGTTCAGGGATTTCACAAAATTGCGAGCATACATGAATACCTGGGTTCGGACTTCTTTGTGCGTGGACATCAGTTCCAGCAGAGCTTGCTGGCTTAGACACAGGAGAGACGCAGGCATTTCGCACATTGCCTTTCCGAGGTAGCTCCATGAACACCATAGGCACCCCTCACAAATCCAGTCACAGGCAATGAGCTGCACAGCGGAGAGGGGTGACCTGCCGTCAGTTGGGAGAATGGAGGCCCAGGACCGTCGGCGAAAGCTGGTTGCTGTCAGCGGCTTGGAAGTGGTGTCCATGGAATACCCGTGCATACTTCGGTACCAGATGCTGCCAGATGCCACAATGAGCATATTCTCGCAAGTTGGACCGGCCGAGAATAAAGTCTCATGTGGTGACACATGTCGATCAAGCAATGCTTTATGACACAAGTCGTATTGCAAAGCCGTAAACTTGGTCACCATGTTGCCGAAGAGCTGATGCATGGACAGTATTGGGGCAAGAGCTTCACGGCACAATTCCCTGTACAAGTGTTCTGGTAGCAGTTTGGCGATGTCTTGTTTACTTGGTGCAAACGCAATTTGTGTGTTCCGATGTAGGTATTCTCTGAGACAGCTCTCCAGCTCCCATGGCACTGGGAAAGTCCTCAGGAAGTCTTCGATCTGCTGACGTGCTTCTGACCTTGCTCGGTGCACGCGACGTATATCCGAGATCTCGTTTGTCAAAATGGACGTGAAAATGGAACCGATGAGCATCGCAGAACCTGTTGCCAGCAGTGCTGTGACCCTTTCAGCTTGTGTGTTCAGAAGCATGTTGTCTGTTGTTCGGGAGGGAGGCATACGGGCCAAGGCCCATTGAACAGTTTCCAGGTACTGCTTGGATGCAGGCATAGCCTGCAAGCCGCGTGCAGCAACCCAGCCGTCTGGCATCAACCCCACGGAGAACCAAAGGCACACTGCGTAGTGGATGAACATCGCGCACCTTTTTTGCAAGTGCCAGCACCATGACAGCTGTCTCAGGATTCTGCAAGGGCAAGATGTTTTTCTGCCTCTGCCTCTTTTTTCTTTCTGCGCGTTGTTTTCTGTTTTTGCTCCGCATGCTCTATCAGACTTCCCATGGGGAGCAAAATGGAGCGCGCGGAGCAACAAAAAAACTCACAGGCCGCGTTTTCTTTTTGCTCTGCGCGCGGCTCGAAGACCTCCCTGACTCATTCACTTGCTTCTGGCTGTTTGGTGGAAATACAAATTTCTAGAGAAAAGCTATCATTTCCTCCCAAAAGTTGACGGAGCGCATACGGAGCAAAAAGAAAGCGCCGAAGGCGCCTTTTTGCTCCGCATACGCTCGCCTACGCCCTCACTCACTCACTTGCCTGTGCATCTTTGATGGAAATTCCAATATCGAGAAAAATCTCTCTCTCATTCCCGCTGGAAAGCCACGCGCGCATGTGCAGGAAAAAAAGCGCGGCGTGTTCTTTTTTGGCGGCGCATGCACTCGCCCCCGCACTCACTAACTCAGGGCTCCTCTGTCTACGGAAAGTGCGCAGAACAAAATAACAGATGCTAGTCGTACAAATATCTTGGATTCGCCTAGCCTTGCCTAACCCAACAGATTGCCACCAAGCATCATGATCATGACTACTAGGAAGGTGCTAACAGCACGCACTTCGCGGCTGCGATGATGTTTCCATCGGCGAAAGCACCTTGTGCATTCAAAACATGCCACTCAGCTCGGTAAACCGGTCTGAAACATCCATCATACGCTCCAGCAAACATAGCATCGACCTCGGCAAGCCCGCCATTGCATAAAGCTTTGGAAGATGACGCAGGCGCACCAGAGGCAAGCCTCACCAGATATGTCATACTGTAGGTCTGATCTGTTGATGACAGGCCATGACAGTCAGCCCCCAAGCACAGAGCTAGCAGGCAATCCCACGGCAACCTTGTAGCAGCACCCGGAGCTCTCCCGGGAGCACAATCCAGAAATCCTCAGTGCATGCAGTATCGCGCTCAATCCTGCCACTACTGCAGCTATCCTCTTGACCCTGACCTCCATCTGTGGCCAAGCGTCAAAGACAAGAACAAGAAGAAGAGAGAGTTCCTCTGCTCCTACGCTGCATGCCGGCCACGCGGACTGTTTCTCACCAGTCCAAAAGTACACGGCCACGGGGTGCGTGGACACCCAAAATAATGCCTTGGTAAAAAGGCTTTAGGTACCGAGTTCCTACTGCCGCGTGAGCATCTTATAAATGAAGGGTCCCACAGTTGCACATCAGAAGACTGGACAGGGTGCTGTAGTACCAGAATTTTGGGAATAACCTACGTAAAGTTTATGCCCTCGAGTGTGCCAGGAGGCTGTTACAACGCTAATTGCATCGACCCAGTGGATTCCAGGTGGCACGAAGGCCACCATCGGCAAGGATATCGAAAGCAGGAAGAGATTGAGCATTGCGCTCACGGCCCATAATTGAGCCATGCTAGGATGTTTGGCAACGTTTCTGACTTTTGGCTTGAAGCTTTCTGAAGGCAACGATGACTGGCATCGAGTCATCTTGGACACTTGCTCTTCACCAAGCCTGCGCCATGCTTGATGCATGTCGAAGTATCTGCTCACCACTGACTGATCCGAAAGCTCCTGAACCTGTGGCTTCGCGATCTGACTAGTGCTGTCCTTGCTCTCTGCGTCTATGAACGAGACGCTTCTCGTCTTTGGTAGGCGAGCGGGCGAGGTGATGCTTTCCTTTAGGGGCTCAATTGATGGTAGCGACTCGCTGTGAGTGAGCGGTGCTGGCCCGGGTATTTCCGGAGCTGCTTGGGAGTTGCTCAGATCTGAGCGGATGCGGGATGGGAAGTCCAAGCTGCTCTGCCGCCTTGACAACTGACACTCCGTCACATGGTGGGCTGCAAGCAGTTTCCTTAGCTGAATCCATGTTGTCATAGCCAGCTCGAGATTTGGAGGACCCTGCTGATTCTGCAAACATCATGACTGAGGCTGCTCAAGTCGGGGCTCACCAACAAAGTCTCCTTGGATTTCACGCCAATCAAAGCATCTTTGTGGGCTCTTCGACAACTGTCTAACAAAATCTCCAAGCGCACAGCCTGCTTCATTTGAGCAAGCTACGATCTGCGACATCACAGCTGGCAAATTTATTTCACCCTCCATGGCGGCTAGGGTTTTTCAGCCCCAGAAGGTGATATCAAAGCTTTACACGTTCCAAACATTCTTTGCTTTGTCCGTTGTCCTTCTTGTACCCTGCATGCTGGGACTTGGACCTGGCCGCGGCACTTCTGGTTGGACAAGACAAGCGAGTTGGGACTCTTGAAATGTTCAGGCGTGTCGGGTGGGTCTAGTTAGCTGCTTGCGGTATTCCCATCATGTGCCAGCCAGTGCATCATACCAGATACCAGCAGATACCATGACCTGTCTCAAGAAGATGGCTGTCTGGTATCAAAACTCCAGCTCTCTTTTGAACTTGCACCTTGAGTCCCTCCTGAATTCGACTAGAGCACGCCCGAGCGCTCCTGACATCAAGGCTAAGAGAAAAGTCCGAGGCTGTGCAGATTGATTCTGCCACCAGGCGCTGATCCACCAGGAATGCATTGCTCCAGGCGAGGAAATGATGAGTCCACTTCAAGGTCAGCGCGACCACTCTGAAAGCCAGAAAACTGAACTGCTTGCGCTCGTGCCCGGGCCTGGTGCGTGCCAGGCTCTGACACAAAGTGGAGGCAAAAGAACATCCGAGTGCATCAGCATGAAGCACTTATGGACCCGACCACTCAAAGGACAGCGTTTCAAAGAGAAGGCCTTGCTTGGAGGTAGTTTGCAGGGTGCAGCCGTGTAGAAACTGTTGGACTCCCTCTGCAACTTTTGTCCACTTCTGGCATCCTTGCTGTCTTGCCATTTTGCCCATACCTTCCCCACACATCAACGCCAGCCGAAGTGTGAAGAATGTCTGAGAAACAGAAACCCAGAACCTTTGAGCCCATGACCTGACTTGACCTTCCACTACATGCCTGACCTCTCTTGCTACCCGGCCAGTGTCCGCTTGCTGTTGGAGCATTGTCCCTTTCAACAGGCACAAATGTTTTGGAGGGACTCGCTTAGTTCGTTTTGGACAAATGGCTAACACCCTGAGCAAGGCCTCATTAAAAATGGAAAATGTACAAGAGACCTGGCAAGTCGTCTTGTTTTGAAGCTTTTGCAAATGTGCGGGCAGGCTCTGGGAGGTACCCCGTTGCTG